GGCCGCGATCCCAGCTATGAAAATGGTGTCCGCTGCCCCGATGGCCCAGCTCCCACCGCTCAGACGCCAATACCCACTACCAACACCAGGCCTTACAATATATTGTGTTTGGGTGCGGTAGCTCGTCAGAGGCCGAAAGAGAAAGAAGGTTGACTCAAGACCTTGTTGCTTAGAGAGTAAGAGACATGCGGTAGGCCACACCATCGCCATGCAGCATGTCTGTCAATACATTCCATCCGCGTACCCCCCGGAGGCCCCGTAGACAGTATACTCTGCCGAGCACCCCAAACAAAACCAACCTTGATCACTGTCGATTTAAACTACTTGACTTCTGTACAAGAAGAGAGGGGAGAAAAGACGCTAAGACCAAAAACCGAAGACCAAGCCCACAGGAACACAGGACACACCGCACATCACTGATTCAGCCATCCTCTGCCTTCTTCATGGAGCGAGTATTATTCTGCGTGCGTGTATGGACCAGAGGCAGGAGTCGAGCTTCTTGAGCGATCGATCGCATTGCCGCAGCTGCCCTTCTCAAGTACGATAGATAGAGGGCGCGGAGAGTAGTGTTCGGGAGTACGCAAGTTCGCTGTTGTGCCTGTGGTGTTTATGTGTTGTTTGTTTGTGGTGTCTTGGAAATGAGTCCGATATATCTTATTCGAGGCGCTTTCTTATTTATTTGTTGCTGTTTATTTTTCTGTTTCGTTTGGTACTACTGCATTTTCAGGTGAATTCTACGGAAGTCACAAGTAAGTGCCTGTCTGAGCGTATTTTTGTTCCTGTTGGAATTGAATGTGTGGCATGGCTTTGGCTTGATTTTTTTTCTTGACGTTTACGGTTTGTGGTAGAAAACAGGGCAACCCTGCTGTTTGGTTCAGTGGCCATTACTACGTGGTATGCCAGCGGTATTCCATTTTACAGCAATGATACCCTAGTAGGCCGCACTGAACTGCTATTATTATATGGCTGTTGATTGTTTTAATTGAAATCAATTACTATTTTTCGTTGCATCGACAATTACTTATGGGGGGGGGATGGAATGTGTCCATGATTCTAGAGGCACTGACAGCATTTGATTTGGTGTTCTGGTGGGTTTGACACTGCTACAGCAGGGGCTGTTGGAAGCGCATATATATTGCTTGAAGTATTTTACCGCGATTGATTCCAGAAATAAATATATCTACTCTGTCTGCCCAATGGCGATCACGGATGACGAATGGTGAAGGGAATGCGGGAAAGTAGTCCCCTCTTCACCCTTATTAGAACGAACGAGTGCAGAGTAGTAGTAGTCGGATGCGTCGAAAAAACATTTCCTGAAAGACTAGAGTCCAAGAGAATTCGCGCTGTGATGTGATACAGCAACACAATTAATTATTGATACATTTCGACGGTGGTGGCAGACGGCATAATAAACAAAGCGTGTCGACGAAGCCAACCGCGCGCGCATATGTCGAGCATTAACGACCAAAAGAAGCATTGCCCGAGCACGAGGGACGAAGAAAAGCGTGCAGCAGTAAGAGCACACGCGAGGAAAATGAGCATAACCAGCGTGCAGAAGTAGCCTTTTGAGCTTACGCACGTGCCGAAAAACGTGCATAAAAATGTCAAGAAATAGCATAACAGGTCAGGGCCTAAGCTGTGCACGTTGATGACAAGGGGCTCTCACTGCTATTATTGATCGAGTGTGCGTGCATGCGTGCGCGTGCCCGTGCCTGCGTCACCCCCTCAATCTCAGCACACGAAAATCGCACCATACCAGTACGGAAACAGGAAGTGATTACTACTGTACACTGGCCAACAGCCTCTGAACGAAGTGCTATGTCGCGTTTCAAGCGTTCGGGAGAGAGACGGGGGGGTTGGGACCGGGAGGCACATACGAGTCAAACGCTCTTTCTAGTAGGCACCATATATCGAGACCAAAGGAGCATATTCGATGAGCATATTCGATGAGCATAATTGACTTTTGCAGCATATGCTTTCCAAAAAAAAGGAGCATAAAAAACGAAAAAAAGGAGCATAATGGGCCTAAGAAAAGGAGCATGATGGTCTCGATATGCCCCCTCCTATGCTCCGTTTTAGTGGCGGGAATATGCCTCAAATGCCTCTTTATGCTACCGTGCTACCGTATCACGCTTGTGTTTGTGGTGTTGATGTTGATGCTTCGCCCAAGTTCACCGTGTTATCAGTCAGCAGTTTCATGTTTTCGAAGACTCTCGGCTCTCGTTACCTTCATCACAGTCGTCGCACTCCTTCGAAAACTGGTGCCCAAAACGTGTACTACTCGAAGTAGTACGGAGTATATACGAAGTAGGAGTACTTCATTATCTGCGGCCAACGAGCTCAACATCACCAGTCTCAATGCGGAGCACCCACAGCAAGCGGAAGCGGCAATTCCTCAGCAGGTTAGCAAGATGAGACGGCAGAAAGCAAAAGCCAACCGCACCACTTTCTCCGCTGTAGGTCTCAAGGCCTTGTACTGCAAACCAAACAGCAAGGGGAACAGAAAAATACCTTCTAGTACTCCTGAGACATGTTGTACTTAAGGAGGGCCGCCGCCTCAATCCGGTCTAAGAGACAATGCTCCTGCCTATCGTCCACGCAAGCACGAAGGACAGAAAACACCCGTTCCATGAAAGCGGAAGAGGGTTGGATCAAGGCTACGTCTTTGGCTACGTTGTACCAAGCAGATAGTTTAAGCCTGTTGTCATGCCAGAAAGCCCACAAATCGCAGCCGGCATCCGTCTCAGCCGCCGCGACGTTGTACGCATCCATCTCTTCTACGAGGGCGGCGACCACGGTTGGTGTCACGAACGGAAGCACTTCTGGTAGGATGTGTACGTCCGACTCCTCCAGTTGGTGCCCCTTCACGAACGTGAAGTTCAGCAGTCTCGCCCCCTCGAAAAGCCGGATGGTCGCGTGTTCCTTAGCTCCCGGATGGTCTCCGATTCTCGCGTATGCGTGGTACCGGACGCCGTGCATGTGAAAGAGTGCCATCTTCTTGAGCCAAAGCTTGACGTTCTCCTGCAACCGACGAAAAGTACGAACACGATTCACGAGAGGGATGGAGACATGATGTACAAAATCGTGTGAAACAGCTGGGTGAAACTGCTCTCATCATGGAGGGGGGATTCAAGACAGCTGCAAAAATTCTGGTCCGCCGACACACAGATTCACAAACGTACTCACGTCGACATTCAAGCTGTTGGCGTACTCCCTCACGAGCGCGTTCACGTTAGGCGTGTTGACCTTGTCCTCCAATTGGCCAGGGAGCAGAGGGTTCAAGGAGAGGGCCAGACCCTGGCGCACCCTCAAGATCGTACGCCACAGGTAGCTACGGTGACAGAGGAGGCGTAGGGTTCGCAACAGGAAAAAAAGAAAGTGCAGAGTAAACAGCGAACGACAAAAGGCGATGGAAGGTAAAAATACAAACGGCGAACGACGAGTACGGCACAAGCGAATGATGCACGTGAAATGTAAGATACACCCGCGTAGTGCTTACCAGAAACCCGTCTCCCTCCAGCAGATGCGTAGCACGCGTGAGGTGGATCCCAACGTCCGCAGCTACCACAAATTCCAGCTGCAAGACGAGCTCCTGGTGGATGTTGTCCGGCCGAACGTGTGCCAGCATGTCCCTCATCGCAGCGGCCGACTTGGACTTGGACTCGTCGGCCGAAGTGAACTTGTTGACGAAGGACTTCATCTGCTGCCAGCTCCGCACCAAGCAGTCGTTCCGCTCAAAACGCGAGCTCCAGCGGTGCGACGGTGGCTTCGGAGGCGCCACCCCCCCCGTCTCTTGCAACCACAAGTCTTTCGCGTTGTGGCTGTGGCTCAGCAGGGTGTGCAAGTGGCCGGCGAACTTGTGGGTGTCATCCGAGTTCATCTCGTTGCCGCTGTTTTTGCAAAGGTGGGAAAAGCACCGCACGCCGGTAGCGATCCGAAAGTTCATTTTCAGCGTGTCGAGGGCCTTCAGGTTGGCGGAGCATCCGTCGAGCATGAAGCCGACGCACTTTTGCCGGTCCAACCTGTAGTCGTCCACCACGACCTTCATGACTTCGCCGTTGATGGCCGCAAAGTCCATGGAATTGCTCAGCATGCTCAAGCTAAGCACTCGCTGGGTAATCTGTCGACGTACCGATGCAGAGAGAGAAAGAAAGAGAAACAGGCAGAGAGAGAGAGGTGAATTAGGAGAACGCATGAGTTTGCACACTGCACGCGCCCCTCGTAAACAATGACGCTCCGGCCTTCGCGGTAAAACTACGCAACTACGCACAAATATCCCTGCAAATGTCCGCACGCGACCATTCTCACAATCGTCGTACCTTTCCTGCCTTGGTGATGAAGCGGATGCCAACCCCGAAGCACGCAGCGCGGTACGGCGTCTCGTTGAAAGTGATGGAGTACCGGGAGTCCCCAAGCTCATCGAGAATTTTCTTTTTCTGTCATGGCATGTGGCACGTTCGGGGTTGGGGCGTTGGGCGATTGGCGTGAGGGATGAGATGGTTAAACGCGAAAAAATTGATGAACGAATAAGCAAGGTGCCCCCACCCGAAATTAGAGAAAGTGACTCGTTGTTTTTGTCCTGCACAACGATCCATCGACTATAATACCTACCGTGCGCCACACCCCGCGGCCTCACCTCTTTGTTGAGAATGAACGGGATGTGGTTGGCAAGGTGTCGTGCCGTCGGGAGCCTTGCCCCCACGTGCCGAAGAAACTATTTCATCAACGGTTGGTCGAGAGCGTTGAGAGCAACCCCGCTAGACAAGCACGCCTCCACTGCCATCAACTGCGTCATCAGTGCCTTGGGGTGAAGACTATGGTCGTAGCGGCCTCCGGCGAGTTCAGAGTGTTCCTGAAACATGTCCATAGACGTCTGTAGAGCACGAAGAGAAAACGTGCGATGAAGCGAAGTTGCGTGCAACAAATAGCTTTTCACTTGACTGATCATGTTTCAAGCAACAAAGCTCGCCATCACAAGACCTGATAGATTTTACTCCGTACTAAGCAATCACACCAAATGTGAATGCCACCTCAGACTGTCGTAGATTGTGACGTCAGATGACCTGTCGGAGATCTACCTTCGGGGTGTTACCACAGATGGAGTCAGTGCAGGTTGGATGCTGAACCTTGCTTCAACACAAGGTTGATCCCCACCTGCCTCACTCACACAGACTCGACTCAACGTTCCGTACATCAGCCTCTCCACCAGAGGTTGATCCGGTGTGTATCCACACCGCCCATCCCTAAGGGAACTTGCTCACACGCGAACCTGGAGACAACAGTCTCATAGTGGCGTCAGCGGCGTTACGTGTGTTTGTTGAGTTCTTTGTTCGGTGGTGGCACTACCTTGCGGCAGTTGCCATCATGGGGAACAAGAAAAAATCGAGAAAAATACAAGAGGTCCACTTCAAGGAAGAGGAGGGGGACCAACAGCAGCTCGTCGACTTCGAGCCCGAAGGGGAGGACGAAGAACAACACGTCCTACCGTCCCCCACCGGCTCGTCGTCGCCGTCTCCATCGTCGTTGTCGTCCTCTTTGTCGGAAGACGAANATAGAGGCGGACCAACAGCAGCTAGTCGACTTCGAGCCCGAAGGGGAGGACGAAGAACAACACGTCCTAGCGTCCCCCACCGGCTCGTCGTCGCCGTCTCCATCGTCGTTGTCGTCCTCTTTGTCGGAAGACGAAGGGAATCGGTCGCACCGTTCATCGGATGACGATGATGGTGTGGACCGGTTATCGTCCTTGCAGTTGCTGGAGGCAACGTGCAAGGATGAGGTGAAAGCGTACCTCCGAGCGTTGTGGCGTAGGTAGACTCTTCCGGAGCTCTCGCCAGCTACCGTCACGTGGCAGCAGCGTCTCCTAACGGAGTCGGTGCCTGCCTCATCGTCTGTCGCAACAGCGTCAGCTACGTCGTCTCGTGGAGCCTCGTCTCGTGGAACGAGTGCAACGGCAACTCCAGCGGTAAGTTCAAGCGTTCCGTTTTTAGCTCCGTCGTTGCTCAGGCTGACACCGTTGTCCCCTGGAGCACCATCGTTCGTTCCGTCCGCGCAGGCAACGAGTGGATCAAATCCCTCGCCGAGTCCGTCGCTCACTGCGCCCGTCAACACGTCTACTTCGGTGTCGTGTACGTCTAGTAGTGCAACTACAGCTAGTTCAACATTGCAAGTTGCACCTACTAGTGCGCAATCGTCCATCGTAGCGTCACCTGTTACTTCAACAGCACAGGTTGCATCTATGAATGCGCAATCGTCCGTCGTCACACCACCTGTTACTTCAATGTCACAGGTGGCATCGACTGCTGTAGCGACCGAATCCCCCGTTCGTACGTTTCTACAAGCAGCTACCGTTTCAATATCCGCGGCTGACCTCCGCAGCGTTCCCAAGCTGACTGGAGACCGTACAGAAAACGTGATCGAAATCTTGAAACATTTTCGTACGGTGGTTGGGCTGAAAGCCGCAGCCGTCAACACGGATTCGTCGTTTGCTGATGGGGTTGCACTCAAGCACGTTGCCCTGGTGGGAACAGGAGAAGTGTTGACCCTGATACAGCAGATCTTGTCTGGACAGATAGACTGTTGTAAGGCAAGCACGTTCACATGACCGGAGGAAAAAGGGTCGTTTCCCCCTCCGACCACGTGGGATGCCATGTGTTCTGTTTTGCTTGATTCACTTCTTCCCGCAAATTCCGTGGAGGAGGAGGCACACAATCTCGCAACGTTCGTTCAAGGGCCACAGGAATCTGTTTCCTCGTATGCTCTCCGTTTCCGTACTGTCATGGCACGGTTCCAAGCTGCCGTCGAGCGTGATGGTAGTCGTAC